AAAAAGAATTTTTTTTTTTTTTTTTTTCCCCCCCCCCCCCCCGAAAGCATGAGTCTACACAAACAATTCTGTTTGAAACTGCTTTAAGGACATACTTTTTCCTATCTTTTTTTTTTTCAATCCCACTCTTATTTTGAGAGCATGGAAAACCATACAAACATAGGCACTGTGTTTCAGATTGTATTCCATGGGAATGACTGTGCAGTATGTAATTTAGTTTCTAAAAATAATAACAGGAAAAATGTGGTTCAACTTTAGTAACCCATGCTTAAAAATTCCATCTGCTCCTCTGTAGCAGAGTAGAAAGGTTCTTCAGTAGATATGTTAGTATTTGAAATACACTAGAATTGCTCTGGTCCTCTTACAGAAAACAAAAAACTTGGAAAGATTGGAAATAGGCTTTTTAAAGTAGTGGCTTTAAGAAGGAGAAGAATCCAGGTGATGCAGATTTTGTGTACATTATTACCCTTAGCGAGAGGGGAGCCAAGGGCGCGTTTTTCACAGAATCACAGAATGTTAAGGTTTGGATGTTTTGAACTATCATGCCTTTTCAGAAATTACTTCAGTAGTTTAAAACCAGAATTGGTTCTGGTAAATATGGTAGATTAAGGCTTCCAGAAGTGACCGAGTAGCTTACCAAGTCTTGCTGCTGTATTGCCAGTAACAGCGAAACAAGATTCTTCATGATTTGCTGCCCGTTTACCTTGACCGGGAGAATTAATATTTGTGTGTGTGTATAAATGAAAGCCTTACTTTAACCCTCAGTCTTTAACCCTCTAGTTAGTGAAATAATATCAATTTATGTGCATTGATCCAAACCAATTCTGTGTGAAACTTGCTTTTTGATCCACACAAAATAGGCCTGAGAAGATTTAATAATTGAGTTAAGTTAGGTTAAACTTCATCCATCCATAGAGACAAGGAGCATGTGTGTTATACTGTCTCCTTAGCTAACGTTTGGCTGTAAAATGGATGGCAGCCCCCATACTCAAAAATATGTTGGTGTTTCATCAGAGTGCTATAAATCCCAAATTCTGCAGGCCTGTGCACCAGCAGCAGCTCTGTGCTCTTGCTCCCTCTTCGCGTCATCTGAGCAGTAGCTCTACTGAGAAGTCCCACACAAAGGGCAGTCATGTTGACATGCACATTCAGGGACTGAGAGTTTGTTATAATCAAACCTTGAAAAGTAGCCATTTGTCTTTCAAATGTGGGTCAGATTCCTGCTCATTAAAAATAAAAAATAAAAAAATTATAATCTGATTATACCTTGTTCTCGTCACTGCAGATGAGCAGAATTTAGCGGAGCCTAAGCAGATGATATCACTTTTGTTCTCCACTACCCTTTGGACTTTAAGATACATCTGTTTTGCTGTTTTCTAAAACCTAAAAACCTTGATAAACATACTGTGCTTTTACATGCAACTTAAAATGTAGCTCTTAAATACAAAAGGAAAATAATTTCAAGTTAGGAATTAAAATTGACCTTCTGTATTCGTTTAGTGTCATATTTTAAGCATTGCCGTTATTTTTGTAGACCATCTGTCATTCTAGGGGTGACGAATCCTTTTTTTGCGAAAACACTTCAGCACTGGCCTCACATTATCCGAATTGGAGATCTTAAACTTCCAGGTGAAGTACAAATGTCTTCTACAGTTCTGTGCAACAAGATTTAACTGTGTGCTTATTTGTTTAGAAACATAAGCAATTTAGTTCAATTAATTTAGTTTAATACTAACCAAATCCTCAAGGATGTAAATATGTTGAGTGAAATTGAACTCTTGTGTACTTGTATTGCCAGATCTAGTATATTAAATTATAATACTCAGTAACAATTACTTTTTACCTTTCACACAATCCTGTTTTGGGTTTTTTTATCTCTACCAAGAAGGTTTTAAAATGAGAAAGATCATTGATTACTGATGTTAATTTTAGGCTGAGTAGAATATAATAAATCAGTCACAGCAAGTGCACAGAAAGCAAGACCCATGTGAAAGCTAAGCTTGAATGTTACCATAATACCAAAAAGTTCTGATAATATATTCGTAATCTGGTAATATTCCAGTGATTATTAATTGTTCAAGTTGGGTGATTTTGTTACATGATTGAGCAGATTTTTAACATAATCTTTGGATAACATGTCACTTGGTAGCCTGTAATAAAATACAGCAGTGCTCTGCTTAGATGAAGTCCCTGAAAGTAGCTGTTTGCCGTGACTGGTTCTGTATTCTGTTCTGGCAGTGGGAATGTGTAAATAACTAGTTAGGGTAATACACCATGAAATTATTTTTTCTAGAATGAGCTCCATTCAGTTTCTGAATACATCACATTAATTAAGGATTACATACTGTGTTCAGTATAATTAAGCAAGGGCTTGCTTTGCTTTATAAGATCATGCCTCTCCATGCTTCAGAATACCTGGGGGAGGCTTCAGAATACCTCTTGGGAGGAGTTAGCTAGCTGCTGTGTAGTTCCAATTTGAAAAATAGAATCTTAATTGAACTACTAAACCTCTGCAAAACCATATACAGGTTGCCTTCAAATTTGATACCCAGTTTCATGTATGAAATTCTAAAGCTTTGGTTGTGCAGCTACCACCAAAGCATATGCAATGCTTAGTCAGGAAGTTGTGGAGAATCATCTCTCTGACTTGCCTTTTAAAACTTGAATTTTACTTCTTTAGGAACAAAGGGAGAGATTGTGATTATTCTGGGGGGATTTGGGGGTGTTTTTTTCCCTTTTTTTTTTCCCTTTTCTCCCCACTTTGCAATTTTAATAGCAATTTATACTATTATCTTTGTGAAGCTGAGCATCCAGCTCAGAGGAAGATTCTGCTGAGGCTGCAAGACTGTTAACGGGGTTCAGGGTCTTCTGGCTGCAGAACAATCCATTTGAAAAACAAAACAAACAAATTAGTTTGGCCTAATGAAAAGGAGACTCAAATTAATACAATACTTAATCCATGGCTGCTGTTTTAATTTCTTGTATATGATTTTTATTTTGGCCCAAGTACTTAACATTTGTTCCTGAAAGCACTTACCCTAAAGTCAACAAAGGAAGATGGAATTAAATTTGAAATTAATGAAACAGCCATTCACTGCTATATAGTCAGTATTTTTGTTGGACTGCTTTGATTCAAAAGGTAATTCTTTTGGGGTTTTGGTTTGGTTTTGGCTTCTTGTTTTTTGTCCCCCCCTCCCTCCCCCCCAACACGGAACGCTTACATAAAGTGAAAAGCCTGTATGCTGTTATTCACATGTTTACTGGATGTTTCTGGATATATACTTGGATGCCTGTTGATGTTTCTAATGCTTCTTACAATATTAGTCTTCTAAATGAAAGTACCTGTTTCTAAAAATCAGTGCAATGTATAGCTCATCCTGTACTAATCTAGTAATAGATACCTTTCAAGTAAAGTGGCTTTAAATGTTTTCACAGGGGAAGTTCCAAAGCAGGTGAAAGTGAAAAAACTGAAGAATTTAAAAACTTTGGACTCCAAACCTGGTAATAAGTTGCTTGAGAATGAAATTACCAGTATTCTGATTTTAAAAAGCATACCCCATTTTTCTTTGGTTATATGCTCCTTTTTTTTCTTTAGGTGTTTATACCTCTTACAAGCCATACTTAAACAAAGATGAAGAAATAGTTAAACAGTTACAAAAGGTAATACTGCAAGTCTCTTCTTGATGGAAACTATTTTGTGTACTGTCCTAAGGTGTTTTCATTTAAGGCTGAGCTCTGTCTGTGTCGCTGAAGTGAAGCTGGATCCTGATTCCTTTGCCCCGATTCATAACTGAATAGATAAATATACATCCCCAAAGGGCTGCTAGAGATAGATGGGCAACCCCATAAGGGCTGCCGCTTTGTTAGCAGTTTCTACAACAACGTGAATGGCAGATCTCAAAAGGTTAGCTTGATAATTTAGAGACTTGAAGTGACTGATTAGATCATTTGTTTTGGATTTCCCACAGTCTGCCATGCCCCTCTGGTCATTGGCCTGGAAATCTCATGCATGAGGTGTGCTGATTTGCACAAGTTTGTTTGTTGAAGTTTTTCTTTCCTGGAATTTCTTTACAAATAAAGAATCAGCAATTGAAGCGATGAATATCTGTGCAAAAGGACTGGGTGCCACTGCTTTTCTTTAATGGTTCGGAGTAGGGGGTGCTATGTGTTGGCTTATGTCAAATGAATACAGAAACACTGGGTTAAATATTAAAAAAAAAATACAAACCACAGCTACTCACGTATTTTAGGGTAACAAACTTATTCTGATATTTTATTTCTTTTTTTTTAAGGGTGTCCAACAGAAACGGCCTACAGAAGCACAGAGTGTGATTCTTCGGCGGTATTTTTTGGAATTGACGGAAAGTTTCATTATTCCATTAGTGAGTTCTTAGAACAAAGGGGGTTTTTATATATGTAATAGGAAGTGGCTTTTTTTGCATTAGCCCAAGTTCAGTAATTATCCAGTTAGCAGCAGTGCACCCCTGGGGTCAGCACTGGATCCCATCTTGTTCAAGATATTCATTAGTGATGTGAGTGATGGGGCAGTGTGTACCTTCGGCAAGTTTGCACATGGTACAAAACTGGGAGGAGTGGCTGATACACCAGAGCTGTATCTGCCTTTGGGTGCAATAAAACAGATTCTGAGAAATTCCGCAAATTCAGGTGACTCTAGAAGATGCTATTGCACTTTTATGAAGAAGAGATGATCACTGAACGTTAAGATGCATCTACTTTATATCAGGGTGTCACATGGAGAATATTTTTTCAGTGGATATTGTACAGCATCACGGTGGTTTTGAAATGGTAGATATCTGGTGTTTTGCCATCTAAACATGGTACTTCGCCTGTTCAAGTATCAAAGTTAAGGGGCAAATTTTGTATCATTTCTGACTAGTCAGCAGAGTTTATTGGTATGCTTAATGCTCACGGATTCTTGGGTTTTTGTTTTAATTCTGGACAGAGATCTCAAATTACAAAATGAGAATTTGTATCTAATGTAAGAACTTAGCTGTCCTGTAAACTGAGATCCTGCTGTACTGTTTGAAGACTCCTGACATATCTTTATGCTGACAAATGGATATTGTTTAGGTTGCTGAATCCATGCGGATTTGTACACTTTGACTTGCACTGAAATGGAAGTTTGTCATCTGTTTTCTAATTTGTGCGTTAGGATAATGATAAATAAGTTTTAATATGTTCTTACCTGGCATTTGGAGGAATGAAGTCTGATGGACTTCACCAACCCAAAAAGTTCTGTGCAAAGTTAAGTGATTTCACTGGACAAGTCACACTTCAGGCATTGGATGTTTACATATCAGTTCACCTGTCCTGACCTCTCTGAAGAGCTTTTGTGGATGACCTGTACTTACCATCATTTTAGAGCATACATGAATAGATCCAATTTCTGTCTGCAAGAACTGGGACATTCGTAGAGAGTTGTGTGTTTGTCCTTGGGTGTTACTGATTAGAGGAGTTTTTCCTTAAAATTTGTCTTCTCTCCTGTTCTTTCGAGACAGGATGGACATGTAGGGTGAATCTAAAAGCTTTCCCTGGCATTCCACCCATCTGGCTCAAACATTTTCTCGTTTGAAGTAACTTAATATGGTTTCTGTCATGAATCTTTGTTCACAGCATCAGCCTTCACATTCCCTGCAGCAAGGGATGTCCTTTGTTTCTTCAAAAATCAAACTAGACTTGTCATAATGTGACTGAAGCTGAGTATGTTCACAGATCAAAATGTTTGGCCATTTGCATACAAACACTTTAAAAATGTATAGCGGCTTGTATTGATGTGCTTGGGGGAGCAGGGAAGGCAGAGCTGCCTCCTATCACCAAACCTTCAGCTTCAGCAGGGGCCTGGCTCAGCGGTGTCTCTGCTGCCAATACATGACATGGCCTGTTGGGGCTCCAGCTGTGCCTTTGCCAAGCTTTGCTGCTGCAGAGATGCTCCAGCTGATAGAGAGTTTGTAAGTTAATTTTATATTTAATGTTTGTACCAAGGGCTCTAAAAATCACTTCCAAATACTTGATACAAAGTGGGAATCACCCATGATACAGGTACCTGTGGACTGTCACTGCGGAAGAGAGTGGCTGGAGGTTGGGGGGTTTGTGTTCCATGTGCACCTTTGCTTCCTCTCTTCCTTTCCCTCATGGTCTTGAACCTTGCTGGCACAACGTTCCGTAGTTGAGGGAAACAAATGGCATTAGATAAGCTCCTTGTGCTCTCATGTGGTAAATATGCATGACCCCACCCTGTACCAATACTTAGATGAGAAAATGCTGTGGTCACAAGTGATAAGTAAACATAACACGTGGACTGTGTATCTGTAATACCAGTTACGCAAAGAACCTTCCTTCTTCCTTTCTGTAGGAGCGTTATGTGGCAAGCCTAATGCCTTTGCAAAAATGCATATCACCATGGAAGGTAAGGAAATAAAATTCAGGTGAGCTGGAAATCGGTGAAGAGAAAACAGTTAGGGTATGCTAATCATTTTTTTTCCCTATCCGTAGAGTCCCCCACAGCTGAGGCAGTTTAGCCAAGATGATTTCATGAAGACACTGGAAAAAGCAGGACCACAGCTCACATCAGGTTTAAAAGGAGACTGGATAGGACTTTACAGGTCATTTCTTTCATCAGCATTAAAAGATAAATTAGATAAATAAATACAAATCAGTAATATGAGTGCTCTTTTCCTGAGCAAAATTCTTATCAGTATTGATTTGCATAAGACTTGGGTTTAGAATACATGTTTTGATAGAAATTGATAGTGCTTAGTATACGTACTGTTTCTCTCTAACCTGTTAATAGTTTTCATCGAATGCAACCCACACTACAGCTCTCTCCATGGCAGTGTATTTGTGGTTTTATTTTTGGTTCTCACTTGATTCCTCCTTCCAATTAAACACAAAAATAAAAACAAGGATATTTCAAATGGAGCCTTGCTTTTTTCCTGACAAAATTCATAATCTTTATTGCCTTTCAGACACCTTTTCTTTACGTTGTTTTCTCAGTGCTTGCCTTGATTAATAGAAGCCCTTGTTACACTCCAGAACATTACATTCGATGACATAGAAAACAGAGTATTATCAAAGTTGTAATTAAAATATCAAGTGTATTTTGCTTTGGTGTTTTACCAGGCATTTTTTGAAATCACCAAACTTTGATGGCTGGTTTAGGAGCCGGCAGAAAGAAATGACACAGAAGTTGGAAGCCCTTCACTTAGAAGCACTCTGTAATGAGGTCAGAAAAATGTGTGCTTATATTTGTCATCTTGCAGTAAAAATGTACTCACCGTCAAGTTAGTTTTACTCTTGCTGTTTTCATTGATTGAGCATAAAAATGTTGATAATTCCATCAAGTCTGATCTAGAAAAACAGCATTGTTAAGCAAGGGTAAGCTAGAACTAACATAGCAAAAAAGAACAATTTGAAATACCATTTACTTCTTTTATAACAACTGTCATTGTGTGCAAAAAATGTATCTTTAGTACTTTTTTTGTTTTTTGTATATTTTGAGATTGAATACCTTCCTCCCCATCCCTCCAAGAATTTTTTCCTGTTATTTGATAATGTTATTTCATTCACCTACTTTCCTTGGTTGTTTCTTTTGACAACACGTTTTTAGTTGTGATACATTTTATAGCATTGGAGGTATAAACTGAGTGAATACCATACAAAATTGACAGCTATTTAGATATGGATAGTAAATAATCCTGCAACTAGTGATCTATAGTAATTGGAAGCTGGGAAGTGAAATTTGTTGATACATATAACAAAATGCCACATGGATAACATAAGATCCATTCTTTACTTAAGAAGCTGAAATGGGTATCAATATAATTTGAGTCAGAACAACTCATAAAGAAAAGGTATCACAAGAGGAGAAGAGGTTGTCCTCCTAACGAGGGAATAGGAAGAATGAAAAAAAGTAAGTCAACATTGCAGCTTTAAAACAAAAATATTGTGTTGGTTATTTTGAAAAAGCCATTGATTTTTATCCCTTGCCCTGTCAATTCCCCAACAGTGTACATTGTAGCAACCCAAATGGGTTGTTCAAACAGAGCAGCCCAAATAATTTACAGGGTGATAGCAAGGTCAATTATATCACCTAGAATCTATCCAATTGTATTTGACAATAACTTATTACAAAGAAAAGAAAATGTGGTCCTTACTAGCTTGTTCTTTTGATCCAAGTGTTAATGTTTTTCTGTACATGTGCAAATGTCTTCAATGGGTGAACAGTAAAGGGGGAGGGGAACAGAACATTCATAAGAAAATTGACTATGCTATTAAATATTTCAGTGCTTAATTTTTATTCTTTTAGAACTTGGTTTTCTGGAGTCAGAAGCATACTGAAGTAGAAACAGTGGATCTTGTCTTAAAGTTAAAGAATAAACTGGTAAGTAACTGAACTGAATATGGCTCAAATGTGCATGACAATTAGATAAAACTATTCTATAATTGTGTTTACGGGTACTTAAATGAAAATATTCTTTAAGATCTAGGTAACTCAATGAATCAATCATTCAGGTTTTTAAAAGAAAACCAGTTCATTTCAGCCATGACTGAAAACTGAGCTTGCTTCTCAACATCATCCGGCTATGTTGGAAGCACTGCACTGATCCTGTTGTGGTTTTTTTTTTTTTTAAACTCCTTGGAACTTTGTGACTGATCTGAGTGGGAGCAAGGCTGAATCCTCAGGGAAGAAGAAAACCATGCTTTCTTATGATTACTGAAAGGCCAGATTAGCGTTAGCTTATGCTGTTTTGTTGAGGAAACCTGCTGTTGTCCAAATTCCCACTTGGCTGGCAAATGAGGAATTCTTTTTCATGATTCAATAATATGTCACTTTGGTGAGTCTTGATACACTTGCATTTTTAGTAGAAATCATGGGAGTTTCTTTACCTTTGCAGTTGCAGGCTAACAGAGAACATCTTCCTGTGAAAACTGACACACTGAAAAAGCTGCAGACGCACATCAACGATATTATACTAGCACTTCCAGATGACTTGCAGGACATCTTGCTCAAAACCGGCACAACATGATTTCTACTGGGCACTTTTCTGTACAGAAAACAAAAGGGCAAATGGTAGTTTCGCAGAAGACAGTGGCTTACCGAGTTCAGAGCAAAGCTCTAAATAGTATATGAACACTACAAATGGACTGTACTAATAGTATAGCCCTCTATACTATTTTCACTGTTTATTCCACTTAAATACCAATGCAACTAAAGGAATTCCTGTGTCTAATAATGTTTGAAGTGCTCTTAAAGAAAAATCTGTGGGCATATGAAACTGTACCGCAGTACAGGACCACAGTGCAGTGCTGGCATTGCAGAATATTTTTCAATTGGTGCTGCTGTACCCAATCTGGTTAACTCAGGGGTAAGCAATGTTGATCTCGTACTGTCCTGTTGATGTTGTATCTGATTGTTTTTTGGTTTTTTTTTTCTTTTCTGTTAGCTTTCATCTACTTATAAGTTGAACTGGTATGTGACTTGGTCAGAACACATTATAGTTGAGGTATTTTACTGGTACATCATTGTTTTCAAAGCTACTTCAGGGACAGCTGAAATAATCAGATTGGTTCTTAACTTTCTTCCTTTTTCTTTCTTAGCATATTTCCAAAACCATATTAATTTAGCATCTTTAAAGAAGAGATAGTGGCTGACAAAATTCCTGAAGAGAAGTCTCTTCCATTCAGCAGCGGTTAATAATTTGCTCGTACTCACAAGCCTTAAATATAAAGTAATTGTATACTAATTGATGGTTTTAAACTGCTGATATTTCAGACTTAAAGTGGATCACTAGTGTAAATGTAAACATGCAGTATTCATCACAGGAAATAAACACAGCGGTGTTCTAGTACAGATTTTAAAAACTGGTGATTTCAGTAAACTGGTACATGATCTGTTTCAGCTAGAGATCATAGCAGTCAGGTCCTGTTGTAATTTATTTTTTTTTTACTGACACCAGTAGGCTGTGTGAGGAAGTATTGGGGCTGGAGGGAGAAGGTGTTGGCTTCAGCTGAAAAAAGCCTATGGAAAGGTTAAACTGTGGCAGGAAAAGATTGTAGCATGAAATTAATCTCAGTATAATCATATAGCAGACATGCATAAAGAGTGATTTCCTCTTGCATACTAAGCAACAGGAATGTGATTTTCATCTTCTTGAGCAAGTTTCAGTGGTATATAAGAACTCAGCTGCTCCACATGCAGTGTTGTACTTTGACCAGTTCCAAGTAGAATATATATAGGGTACACACAACGTACACTTTCATATAAGTGGATCACAGTTATGAAAAAACCTCTGCTTTTAAGTGCTTGAATAGAATTTTTAAAACTTACAACATAATCCTGCTATGAGAATATGCTTTTGTATGATAAATATTTCATACCATCTTTCTAAAAATGTCTTATTTAGATATGAAGTGTCACAATGGTATTTTTATGAAAATAATGTATTTTAATACTGTTATTGTTTGTATACAGTTATTCATGACCAAAAGTTTAATGTATTATGTTACTTAAACTGTACCACTTCAGCATTAATTTTTAACTGGCAAAATTTTTTTTGCACATCATGATGAGTAGCATTTCATATCCAGAAATTACTAAGTGGCCATTCATATACTAAGTTATCTTAAATATTTAACCTGGAGCACTGTGTAGTTTCTTGGAACCATGTAAACTGGTAACAACCATGGTAACTATCACATATGGCTGCAAAAATGTATTTTTATAAGCAAAAATAAAGGGTCCTATTTTTATTTTTTTCCTTTGCAAGTTATGTGACTTAAATGATGGCTTTGATTTGTTTGTTGCTTTTTCCCCTCTCATGTGTAAGCAAAGCTGCTCGATCTGACTTGATGAAGCTGTACCCCTTTGGTAACCAGAAATAGCCGATGTGATCGTGTATCGTGGCTGTAGTAGTACAGAGCTGCAGGATCCTCAAGAATGCAAATGGCAGGGACTGACTGCCAAGTAAAATTTACCCGGTCTTCATTCAGTTTCCTGCACACGAGAGGCCCTTGAGAAACATAGTACTGGGAAGCAGACTGCAAGCAAAGCTCAATTCAGGTTTCTTTAATGGTATAGGTAGTAGTTGAAATCCCCGAATAAGTTCAGAAGATGTTAAGACTGCCCCAGTTAGTGTAACAGGAGGGAAAACTGGACATGCATAAGCTTTGGGATTTCTCAGACTTTGAAACAACACAAAACCAGCACCAAGAATACAAACATGAGATAAAGTACAGTCAGATATAGTAAAGGTGCAGCTAGTCCTTTAACAGTGTTAGCATCTATGATCTAAATAGAGGAGAATGAATCAAAAATATGTTGTGAATAATAGCTATGTCTGATTATACAGACATATGTTTATGTTGAAACGCTGATTATTGACAATGACTTCTAAAGTAAGCATTTGTTAGATTGTACTCAAATAACTGAAATAATGAAAGGTATTTATTAATGACCTAGCTATACCAAGAATGTGCCAACTTTGAGGTCTAGAAAGTAACTTACTTCAAAAAGTCCTTCAACTATTTAGTAGTACTAAGTGCTAAGTTCAGGGAAGCTTAACTTTCCTGGCCAAATGAAAAAAAAACAAAACAAAAAAAAAACCCCAAAAACCTGAAATGCTCTGAATAGAAAATAGTTAAGTACTAGAAGCCTAGAACTGCACTCCTTAAAACCACCAGGAAAATCATAGAATATCGTAGAATGGCCTGGGCTGGAAGGGACCTTAGAGATCCTTTAATCCACCCTCCCTGTCATGGGCGGGGACACCTCTCAACTAGATCAAAATGAAGTCTCTTAGTGGATCAGGATCATATTTTACATCTTAGGCACTAAGTAGATTGCTAAAATATGATTTCTTGTAATTATTTAAATTTTATACAAATATAACTTTCAATCTTAATTTAAATTTTTGTTTGTTCAGAAGAACATAATTTAAAACTTGAGTAATGCTTTCAACATGACTGGTAAGAGAACAGCTTAAGTTGAGTCTCACTCACAGTAGCCTGCTGGTACGATCTGGTTTGGGACTGTCTCTTTATGGAGACTGTTAAAGATGTTTTTCCTTCATGAAGCAGAAGAAAAGAGCTTCTGCTGGCAAAATCTTAGCTCTTGTGTGCTGACGTAGTTTCTAATTACCATAGGTAGGCTACAAGGGGTTTGACAGTTTGTGGGGCTTTCAACTGAACTGATATGTCCTTGGGCTCGGGAGCTCAGTTCTCCTGCTGTCGTGCCAGATGCAATTGTCGCCGTCTTTTGGGCTTGTTACAGTAGCTGTGAAAGAAGCAGGTACACCTGGTTATGAAATTAAAGACACCTCTCAAAAAAGGGCATGTTTCTAACAAACCAGGGCTTGTTTCAGTTTTATTCCTTGTTACTTCCCCCGATGGTGGTTCGATTCCACGTGCTGGCAGGGCCGAGATCGCCCTGTTCTGCCTGTGCCCTGCGGAGGGCCCGGGCCACGGAAACAACGAAAGGGAAACATTCTCCAGGAATGCGTGTTCCTGGCACAGAGCGCGGTAGCGGCAAGGACGCGGAGGGGTGTCTCCGAGGGTTTGTTTTACCCTCATCCCCCTTCTCTCTCTTGCTCTCGGCTGTCCTTGGGGAGAAGAGCCCGCTGGCTGCCGGGCTTCAGCGTGAGCACGGCGGGAGGCCGAAGGGAATCGCTGTGCCCGGGGGTGCCCCGGG